TGCGTTTTTCTAAAAATTATACCATTCCTTGGAATATTTTCTTTCTAACAGCAATGCTTTTCCTGCATTATTTGAAGTTCGGGTTTGGAGAGAAACAGTAATCAAAGTTTTCTGAATTGGGATGCTTTGAAATTCCAAGTGTAGATTTTAGAATGTCATTTTATAAATGGCAGTTTTTGGAGATACTTGATTAAGAACTTTTTGAAAGTGGAGATTAGCATCGCCTATTTTTAAAGCTGCTTTGTTAGGTTTCTTATGTTTTAACTGTCTTTTCTTAGTTTCCATTTCATTTTCTTTTTTTTTCTAAGTTTGGTGACTCAGTGATTTTGTCATCTTTTACATCAGCTTCATGGTCTTGTTTTTACATGGTATTGCATGTACTTAGGACCTATCTAACAGGGGCTTTACATTGGTTACATTTATGTGTAAGCACATTTTACTGTAAATGTTTGAGTTTCTGAACTTACAATAGATCTGTTTATTTCCGTATGTAGTAAACAATATCTTAAAGTGTCCTATTCACTACTTGTTAATTAAAAAAGTTATGATTCATATGAAACTGTTGTCTTACTATTTTTAGAAAGTGGTGTTCTGGTGAATAGTAGTTGGACAAAGATTTCTTGAATATAATATAGATTGTTTTGAAATTTTCAGGTTTGGCTTTATTTACTGTAATGGATGAAAACAATTTAGGGAATTTTTTTCCCCCTAATTTTGCCTTTGTGGCAAAATGGTATAGAACTAAAAGTGTAGCTTTTTAATATTTTCTTCTGATGGTGACAGCAATTCATACATTAATTGAACACATCATATTTACCTACTATTTCTATCATATTGACTTACTGTTTTTGTACTTCCTTTGACCAGACTTATGAATGTTCACATTTGTTAAAATGTAGTCAATCACACCTCTGATATAAGCTGACAGAAAGTTTTCAAGATATTTTAAATATTTGTGCATTTTATAATCACTAAATTAATCTCTCTTTCTTCTCTTTAAACAGCTTAGCAGTGTCTGCAAAAACGAATCTTTTCCTACAACCTGTTAACTGACTGGACTGATGGTAACAAAGTAATTGTGGGAGCCATGTCGGTCAAAAATTTGGCATCTGCTGAAAAAAATGAATGCCATTTTCAAGTTCCCAAATTACTTCTATACTGGTTTCACTTTCCAGAAATGGAGATATGAAAAGATTCTCTGGAATCCTTGAAAGACTTAATAGAAATCCATGAGACTAAGTTAATTTTGGAACGAAATTATACTTTTTTTTTGTCTTTCATGGGAGTGATAGTTCTTTGCATACCTTTTAAAAAACTGTAACCATTGGAGAATTACAGTATTTCATCAAGGAGTATTACATTCTTTACATAATCAAGAGCACATTCTATGGAATTATATTTAGTAGAGTAGAATTACATAAACAGGCTATTAGTGATCACAAGGCATATCATGAGTTTGTATTTCCTGGAACATGAGAGAATCTGAAACAGACAGATCTTGCTGAGTAGAATATGAAAGTTAATGTAAAGTTCCTAACTATAAAGAGTAGCATTTTTAAATAGATGCATTGATTTGTGTATCTTTGAAAAAGTTGGATTTATGATTAAATGTGTGGTTGGTTAAATGCAATTCAGGGTAACCAGGATGTGTGGATTCTGAGGTTTTGGCTTCTTGTCCTTTCTCTAAGTACTTGACAGTTTTTTTGAATATTTTGAGGTTTCTAATGAATGGTATACTAGTTTCTACTGTTTTATATAAATTAAAATTTCTCCAGTGTTATGTAAGGGTTTTAGTATTCTGGATAATGGGAATGGCTTTCTTCATGGAATATGGTGGTTTTACTTAATTGAAATATTTTCCCAGTTTATTACAAGTATGAAAAAACACTCAAAACTCTGGTTTTATTTCATTTTTGTTGTTGGATTATGTTACTGCATTGTTTCACCTGGTCTAGACTGAATCATATTATCTTACATTTGGGAAGTGTGCAGATGATAGAAGTGGGAGGGGGTAGGAGATAAGCTCTTATTTCTTTTCTTTCCAGAGTGATTCATCGTAATAACTATAGTTCGGTTATTGTATGGTGGTATACAAAACTTATTAAATCTACTCAGTTTCTTATAATTTAAGTGTATTCAGTATCTATGATGCCTGGCAGGAGAGAGCATTTCCAGTGGCTTATACTTGACTGTTGGGTGCTCCTACAGTACAAACAGTACAGCTGGTTGTAATTCCACAAAGATTAGGCATCTGTACAATTTGGTGGCTATAACTATCACTTTGACAGAAGAGAGTGGATAATTCACTGATAATGAGTAATTATCTTTTAAAATATGTGATTGCCAAGTTTAGCATTTTGAAAGTACAGTTTAAGGTTTTACTAACTTAGTGTTTTAAGCTAAATAATCTGATAACTAGGTAGTAAAATACTTTCAAGTTTTTTTCCCAGACTCTGTCAATACAAAGTTTTGAGACTCTCCCAAATGTTTTTTATATTTTACTGTGCTGTTTTTTCTTCAGAAGTCAGATAGTTACTGCCTAAGCCAGAAATCAAAAAGAAGGGAGGTCTTTAATTGGAAACTTGTAAGAGTGTTTTGTTTGTCCAGCACGGTATTTTTCACGTATTTCAACTTGCAGTATGGTAATAGTCTGCCCACCAGTCACTCCTTTTTATTATACCAGACTGAATTCTGAGCTCTGACCTGGATTGCGAATGGTCATTTACATGCAGTTTTGAAGTGTAGAAAAATTAAATGAGATATTTTAAATATTCAGAAAGTAAATACTTTATCATTAGGAACATAAATCATGTAATATTAGAGAAGAAATTTGTTTTAGATATAGGTTAGTAGAAAGTTACTTGCTAATTGTTTTCATTGCTTTTGTTACTGAGAATAGTTTTTCCTAGTTTATCTTTCCCCAATTTGTACATTCAAGATTTCTTAAGAGTTCCTCCCCCTTTGAAAAAGAAATCAGTTTACAACTCACTTTAATAATTTTAAAAATTTTGTTGACCCACTTTTGTTGAAAATATTTTGCTCAATTTTCAGTTCATCTAATTTAAAAATCTAGTCACTAATGGTGTTTTGAACATATGCAGATTTGAATTTTATTAGTGGGCCAACTTCCTTTAGAATGTGCCTCCAAATTCTAAATCTTGTCCTGTATACCCACTGAGGTCAATTTCTGAGACCTCTTTGGCTTTTAGTGTATTATAGTTGGGGGTTTACAAATTACATTAATATCTTAAATATAATATGAACCCCTTTATTTTTTTAAAGCCAAATAACTATATAAAGTAAATTGTAAAAGACAGATTTAAATTGTTTACTGTCACTAAACTAAAATATTAAAAGCTGTTTTCCTGAGCCAGTGTTCTTTAGGTCTGAGTTACAAATGTCTTTTTTTCTTAAATTGTAATGCAGATCATGGCCGGTTCACATGTCACTCATCTCCTTCCCCCCCCACCCCCGATGAAAAATTTTGTTAGATTTATAGCAGCAGATTAAAAATAACATGCTCTTTTGCTTATGTTGTGCATTTCTATTAATTGAAAAGGTGATTTAAGAAGTACATGGTGTAAAGGACATATCAGAAAAATCCTGAAACCATTGTAAACCTGTATTCATTTATAGATGGTATTATTCTAGGCAGTAAATACTGTGGGAATGTTTAAGGATAAGTAAGGAAACAATTTGTACCAATCAATTTAGTTATATCAGTTATATCAACTTGAATTATCTAAGTTGATTTTACCATAGTTTTTAAGGAGTCTAATTTAGTAATTTTGGAATCTAATTCTTAATTTTTGAAGGAATTACTTTTAGTTCATTTCTTTACCATGATAAGTAGAACTGCTTTACATAAAAATGACAGTGCAGATCGAATGTCTAATTTTTGGTCAGAGAGCTTTAATATTTTGGTTTATAAAATAGGTAGCTCTTTCTCCTTTTAAATTATATATTTTTTCCTAGTTGTAAAAGTATAGCATACTCATTATAGAAAGCAGAAAATTCAGAAAGGAATCAAGATGAAAAGAAAAATCACCAGTAATTGTATAATCCAGAGAATATCCACATTAAAACAAAGATTCTTTTGCCTCATAATTGGGATCCGTTCTTGTAAAAGTTTGGTAGGGAATACATTTTAAATGCCTGTTTAAAGAAATCATTTTTGTTTTCTGAAAAATTGAAAATGTATTTTGTTAATTTTGGTTGAATTAACCTTCAGCTACACTGCTTTCTTTAGGCATTGAAAGCCTATTTTACTTATGAAGGTGCCTTTTCTAAGCAATAGGCTACATTTTCCTTTTCATATAATTTTAAGTGGTGTAAGATTACTTAAGTTATGTCATTGTATTTGGAATAGTTAAGATGCTTGTGAATATGATCTGCGATGTCATATTTTTGGTATGACTGGCTTGTTTGAAAACTTTTAGCATTACACAGCTTAAAAAAAAAGGAGGATGGAGTCTGATTTCAAAGAACTATGCCTCTCTAGATGAAAACTTCAAAGACAGAATTAGCCTCAATCTTCTAAAAATATAGCTTTCCAAGGATATAAATGACTTTTGAAGTATGTATTATTAGAACAGCTCAAGCTGAGCCTGAATAACCATCTGTACTGGAATTGATCCCTCTGTGAGGAAAGTTGTTGAATATGTTCTAAGAGCCTATGGATTAATAATACCACCTATGGAAACACTGATTTGGGAAAATGAGGTGTAAGTAACATTTGCTGTAGTGTACCGATAACATTTTCCCTATTTTCAGTCCTGTTTGGATTATGAGATATTCATTGTGAACGCAATGGTTATTTTTTCCTGTGTTAAAGACCACACTCTGCCTAATGTAAAGGAATAGAGCAAGTGAGGTGGAAGAGACAATATTGGGCAAACTAGAGAAGCTATGCTCGTTTAAGTGGGCAGCCTTTACTGGTATTTAGCCTTTTGTCCTGTATAGCCTTTTGTTATAGGTCCCAGATTATATCTCATGTGATGAATTACAAGTCTATGTTTATTCATACATTAGACATAGGTTATTTTTAGTTTTATTTTTGTGTACGTATTTGCTTATCAATCACTGAATTTCTAGGCCAGGTTCAGGCAACTGAAGCGCCTTTATAAGTAGTTTATATTGTCTAGAACCAAGGTATGCAGCAAAGCCAGTCTGCAGCAAAATGGGAAATAACATCCTTCTAAAGATAGGTTTAGAAATTCTGATCCAGTAGGTTAAGATGTTTCCTTTCTCTGGTAGCAGGGCTGAAGAATACCTGTAAGAAAACATTGAGAAAAGTTCACTAAAAAAGATAATTGTATCAAATGACAAACTGATGTACAACATTAATTGCAGAAGTCTTAAGATAAAACTATTTAACAAGGCAATGCTACTATTAGTCCTAAGAACTTTATTTTTGTCCCTTTATCCATTTCACCTCTGGAGGTTCATATAGCATAGACTGCTTGATACGAGAGTTCATTAGAGAATAACAATTATTTTGGAGTTGCAGGCTTATAGCTAGACATTTTCTGATGGAATTTTCCTTTAGTGGAAGTGCTCAAATTCTTAACATGGTGTATATGATATGGCTTTAATGCTAGGCATAGTATTGTTTGCAGCTTTCTGGCTGGCATTCAATATACAAATTAAGGTTAAGAACCTAAACTACACACCCAAGAAAGTATAAATTTTTAGAACTGTTTTCAAATTCTTGAGACGTAATAAAACAAGCCTTAACTCTTTCAAATCAAAAGGTAACATTGCCTTTAAAAATAGAAAACATGTTTGCTGTTTTAATTGTATATTTTCTAGAACTCTTTATATATTATTAAAGTTTTTCAGTGATTATGAAAAAACAAAGAATCCTACCTGGCTGCTAGGCCACCATTCACAGGTATAGCCAAGAAAATAGGGTGCAGACCACCAAAAACAAGACCAACTAATCCACCCCGTGTTACAGTACAGGTTTCACAATTCAAATCACCTAGAAGATAAAGTAGTTCTGGAGATGGTCATCATAGTCAAGCAAACATGATTTAAAGAATGCAAGGTCCCCTTATATGTATCACAGATATTCAATTTTCAGCCAATAATATAGCAAATGCAATTCTACAGGGCATGTTAAAAGCTATAATTAATGTATGGATAACCTAAAATAGCTAGAAATAACTGATTAACTATCTTAGGAAAAATTCTCTAATTTGTTGTGAACTTAAAATAGTCTTGGTTTACACTGCTTCTAGATTTCTGCACTTGTATTAACAAACCTGAGCTAGTATTTTTCTGTCCTTAAGAAACTCGTTTTTAACTCATGGGAGTTACTTATTTTTTTTACAATTTATACCTCATGTTTTTACATTATACAGCATGACTTTATAAATTTTTTTTATTCTTTTCCAAATAAGTTTAAGGTATATTAAAAATAGAAAGCTAAGTTAGTAACTTATGTTTTCACTCAGTCTCTGTTCACTTTAGGCAATAATAGGTTTCCCTGGATTGTAAAAATTCCACACTGATCATGGGGATTCAAGCAAAATACTCATCCAGTTTAAACAAATTTGGTGCAGCACTTAACAGAAGACAATTTAAATGGACTGCCTCTCTTCCCACCACCACGTGTAGTAATAATACTTTTATTTCAAATCACTAATAAAAAAATTTGCCGTGATTAGTTATACTCAAAGCATTCAGCATATATAGTAAACTGTCAAAAGGAAAGTCTCCATATATTTCATAATTCTGGTATATATATTTAGTGCTTTAAGAGAATTCCTACATAGTCTTATTCCCATAAAAATATTTTTTTCTCTAAGGAATTCTCTAAATTTTTTTTTAAACTAAGGCAGTCAGCATTTTTTTTAAATTAAGTTTCCAAATAATTCACTCTAAGCACTGCGAGATATTTACAACTGATATGTATGTGCATTTTTCTTGTTTAATAGACCATGTTAATATGAATTAACTGCCACTTTACAAAGGCTAATAAAGTCCAGTCTTATCTAAGCACTAACTACATTATAGCATATAACTACTCAATATTAATATTTAAGGATTACTGTAAGGTGCAAGTATATACTAAAGCAAACTGGTGATAATGAAATCAAATTTACCTGTATTCAATGGTAAACTTACAAAAGCTTTGTAAGATGCGTTCGCTGTCAAAAATGGAATCACTGCCATTGGTAAGCCTGCAGATATACGAGCCTGTGTCACATTTAAGACGCGCCGGAAAAGACTGTTTGCTATTAGGCCACAGAAAGCAGCATTAAGTCCAATATATATTGATCCATGTTCAAGTAGATCTCTGAGTGGGTGAGAAAAAACGGTAACATTTTCTTTGGCTCTGTTGCATGTCTGAGCTCTCCAGTAGTTCCTACATATTATATAGAACTTACTAGAACTTTAGGAATAACGATACATTTATCCCTTATAGCTCCATAATACAAAAACCTTTTAAAATCATTGTTTTACATGTACATTTTTATTCTAAAAAGGCTTTTGAATGGGCAACACTTAAAAAAGATACAGCGATAAATGTAATTTGTGATTTTGCAAAGGTTACTAGTATGGAAATCTCCCTCCAACTATATTAGCAGGGCAGAGTTCATAGAATGATTTGGATGCCTCTCCTCTGGGCTCCCACAATACCCAACACTTAACCTCTTTAGCATAACACATTAAGGCATTCCCCACTAGTGTTTCCCACTGGTCTGTAAACAATTTAAAGACAATGGATACAAAGAAAAATTGTTGGTTTCAATAGCACCTGACAATGAAGGCACTCAAGGTGAAGTTAATGTTTCCCCTGACTTCCCTAAAGCATTAAAGTCAGGACTAGGGGGCTAGAACAGTAAAAACATTTAAGGGATACTCTTACAACAATGCATTGAAATGGAGAATAAATTGATGTTTTGAGATTAAGTGGTAAAAACTGGTTTTTCCTGTTTCCCAATTAGATTTTAATTTACTATGGTTTAGTAAACCAGAGTTTAAACACAAGTTTAAAATGCATGTTTGGTGTATTCCTTAGTTTTGGAAAAAATACCTAAAATTATTGTTGGATATTGAAAATACTACAAACTCCAGCCTACTGCTGCTTTACCACCTACTGTGCCATGTACAACACAGGTGTTGACCTCAAATCTCTCATTACTCTTACTAATTAGCCAAACTAGCCATACAATATGCCCTCTGATTTCTATGGTTAATACTCAAATAGCTTTTCTAGTCACTCCACCATTATATAAATGTCTGACTTTTTAAAATTTAAAAAAAATGCCCTGCACAATAAAAGCTTTCCTCGGAATTCCTAATTGAGCTTCCTATTTTGTATAAGGTATTACCTGCCACTTTCAGTCATGTTGCTTGTCATTCGATCATGCTACTACTATATGACTTGGTGCTGAAGGCACAAAAAATTACCTTCTGCCTTCACTGTTTTTGTAGTTTATTACTGGATGATGTAAGACGTAAACTTGAGATACAAAGAAGTCTATTAAAATGGTAATGGTAGTAGAGAGAAGCAGTTTCGAAACTTAGGGTACTTAAGATAATATTTAAAGAGTGATGAGAACCTAGAGAACTTACCAAATAACAGAAAACATGAATGTGAAAGACTTGTCTATTTTTGTGGGAGCCAAGGGGATGGAAAACTTGAGCATGTTCTCTAAAATATTTTATCTTATAATCCTATGAAATACATATCTCCATTTTTTTCACAGGAACTAATGCTCAGAGGTAAATAATTTGCCCATATATATTTTATATATTAATATAAAATATATTGTTACTGTTAAATATCATAAAAATAAATATGTAAAGGAGTACAACTGGATTCTGTATAGTTCTGAATTGCTGTCTCCCGATCAGATTTTAATTTATGGCTTACTCATATTTTTTAGTTAATAATTTAGTAAATACAAAATTACCTAGCAGTCTCTTTGCCAGTTAGTTTTCAAAAAAAAACGTGCTTATACAACTAGAAACTCATGACATTGACATATATATAACTAGACACACGAACTAAATGTGATAAAGAAGACCAAATTTAGCAAGTGGCAATGAAATGTATAGCATATGAAATTACTTTGTATTTCAAACCCATCCTATTCATTTCAACCGCCACCACCCTACCATGACACCACTCACCAGGACTACCACGTATTTTCCTACTGGTCTGTCTTCCTTTTCTCTTAAATCTCTTTTTCAAAAAGAGATTAGAATGTTCTTTACAAATGTTAGCTGGATCACACCATTCCCTGCTTAAAACTCTGTTCCTTCAACTTTATGCCCACTTCCCTTGTACTTCAGTAACATTGGTTCTTCAAATATGACCAATTGCTATCATGTGGCTTACGCATATGCCATTCCCTCTGCCTTTTCACCTTTTTTTGTCTCAGATTTTCAGTTTAAATTTAACCTAACCAGAGGCCTTCTTGCCAAGGAGATCTAAAAACACTTTAAGTGCACTGTAGTTCATTCAGTGTTCTCTTCATAGACCAGTATGTTTCCTGTGTAACCTTTTTCTATTTAATATCTTAAAGACCTTTCAGCCACGATCTTATTTTTGACATTCCTAGCTTAGTGTGTTAGATGGCACTCTCTTAGACTGATAAGCATTATGGAAATGAATTGAGAAAAGACCATTTGAAAGTGGTTTTAAAGTTTTGATATTTAAATGAGTCCATAAATGTTTAAATTTGACTTATACTCTACGCTAAGTGGAAAAATAGAACCATCATACAATTAGATATGTCCAAAAAACATGAATTCCAGCCTTGACTTTGAGCAAATGGTTAATCTCTCTGGGCCTTGGTTTTCTTGTCAAGGCAAGAAAGCGGGTTCAGTTTCCTTTTGACATAGTTATTTACACTGAAACCGAATACATTTGAGATAATGAATCAATGAAAAGCCACCTGGAAAAAGATATTTTTAAGATGGGATCTTACCTTTCTGCTTCTGGGAGTTGGTTAATTTTTCTGGTTATGATATCAAAAATTTGGTTTTCCTTGACAGTATCGAGTTCATGATTTTCCATCTCGTCTAAAAAAAATTAAAAATGATTTTTCAATGTAATAGAAAAACAAAAGGGCTTATAAATAGGCTTTTGAAGACTATAAATTTTAAAAAGCATTAGCTATAGATTTAATTCCTTATCTGCATACACACCTGCCCCTCCCCCACAAACTCAATTCTTAGTGAAAGAAATCAGAATATGAAAAGCAGCATTCATAAAGCTTTTAGGAAATATGGAATATCTTTATAACCCTTAAAATATTTCTTAACTTGCAAATAGCACTAAACATAAAAGACAAAACTAATATTAACTAATTACTATTAAGAACTTGTATTCATCAATAGATACCATAAAGATAAGCTAGTGTGGGAGAAATGTTTGCAATATAACTGATGAAAGAGTAGTTAGTACCCAGAATATATAAAGTACAAGTTAACAAGAAAAAGACAAGCAATCCAACAGGAAAAGTGACAAATCGTTTGTACAGGCACTTTACAAAAAGGAAAGCCAAAACAGCCAGTAAACATGAAAATATGCTTAATCTCTTTACAATCAGAGAAATACTAAAACTACAGTGATACAAATATGTACCTAGGTTGGCTAAAATAAAAACCTGACAATTTCAGTTACTGCCAAGAATGTAGGATAACAAACTTGTGCTGCTGGTGGAAGCATAAATTATACCCACTTTGATTATAACCACTTTGGAAAGGAATTCGGTATTTTTTAGTAGTAGAAGACATACCCAGCAATATCACTGCTAGGTACACCCTACAGCAGAAGTCAGCAATCTTTAAAGAGCCAAAGAGTATTTTAGGCTTTGAAGGTTACTTGTGGTCTTTGTTGAATACTTTTTTTTAAAACAACTTTTAAAAAATATAAAAGTCATAGTTGGCTGGCCATACAGAAACAAGCTACAGACTTCTGGCCCACACAGGCCAGTAGTTGGTTGATCCCTGACTAGTTGGGTTGAATGGCAGAGTAAGGCAATGGTGAATGATGAATTTTTAAACAAGATTTCAGGGTAGAATTAGGAAAACCAAACCTTCAGAGATGACAGTAAAAGACAACATGATTTTATAAAATTAGACTTTATTGGTTTACTGTCATCCATTTACAAGATTAATTTACAACACTGAGTAATTTAGCAAATATTTGAGTACTGGTTAGATTGGAGATGACTTGGAAAACGTTGACAACACTGGAATTTCATATCCGTGGACTTAAAATGAACCTATAAGTACAATGAAGGCTTAGAAATTTATGTCTAGGCATCCTGGACTTTTTTTTTTTTTTCCTTAGGCGAGGCAACACTTCGTTGACCTCACATTGCAAGAACCTTGTCAGTTTACAATCCCTTATTTTTTACGCCTACAGTACCTGGTCTTCCTAGGTGGTCTTCCAAATACTAACTAACTAGGCTGGACCTTGCTTAGCTTTCAAGATCAGATGAGATCGGGCTTGTTCAAGGTGGCATGGCTATAAACAAATGTCTGTTGTTTAGGAGGGCCTTGGTTACAAGAACACGACACAACCTCTGCCCTACAGGAGCTTTGAATGATTTTATTTGTGTTGGGTGTGGGGGTGGAGAGGTACATAAGTAATCACATTTGGTATCTATGGAGAAATTGTATGGTGTACATGTCTGAAATAAAAGACATTATGTCCTCTGAAAGTACCTCCTAATGCTATCACTAGTTTTCTGTTCTATGCTCTATTGGTAAGGTTCCGAGTTGTGTGAACTAGCCATTTCTACGGTGTGGCTATTAAAAGTCATCCTTAATTCGGTAAAAAATCTAACCTAGCAGCTCATAATAGGTCATTTTGTCCCTGTTATTAATAATAAATCCCTATCAAAGACAATGGCACCTTTAAATACTATAAATATTTCGAATAGCTTTTGCAGTACCTACGTCACTCAGGATAGCTCCGAGAGGCAATGAAAAAAGTGCAGCGTCTGAAAATTAAGTTAGGCTCAGCAGACCCTGTAAACTGGAAGTAAACCCGGGATTAGATTCCTATTGGCTTATTTTGCATATAAAGTTATTTTTTTCCAGGGTGTAAAACGAAGGGACTGTCGGCACCATAGGCACGACTCCTATCTCCCTTCTCACCCAGTCTCACGATCTCATTCCCGCGCTGTCCTTCCGATACCCGGGTACTTACTGCACTTTCCTAGAATGCCAGTACGTTATGCTCCCCTCCCGCAGCCGGTGCTTCCTCCGGTCTTCCTTCACAGCTAAGGCTCACCGCAACCTTTGCTAAACTCGCCAGGGCGCAGCCATCTTTGGCTGACACGTGACTCGGCCCGAGGCGGGAGCGGGGCCGCTGATTGGGCTCCCAGGACGTAGATCGCACGCAAACCCGACTTCCTGTTGAGGGGCTTCCAGCGGAGGCCGGCGCTGGGGTATTGTGTGCAGTGACACCGGGCGGGCAGATTTCACCTACCCCGGCCTCCGAGGTCGGAGCCTTTAGACCGCAAAATTTCGAGATGAAAGTTGACCCTAAACCTGTCCTTTTCATTGAAAACCTACGTTGGGTACATTGTTTAACTTCCTGGCGGATAGAACCTACCTCATGATATTGACACGAAGTATAAAAAGAAGTGAAAAAAAAAAAAGAACATTGTTTTACTCCATTGATTTCTATTTTCCCTTGGATCTTTAGCTCCCTGTGCCATATTGCGATCTGGTTGACCAACAATAAATCTGAGCACCTCAAGAAAAGGAACTTGTTTTTCAGATTCCCTGGTGTCCTGCAGAGTAAGGCTTATTAAAGCAAGATTGTGTGGATGTGGCGAAAGAAAAACTTTAGAGAGTGAGGGAGCCTGGTGGCTCTATTGTTGCAGGAAGCGACACCTGATGGAAGAATTTGTTAGACGAAGGAGAATTTATTAGGCCGGCGGAGTGCGTGGGGTTAACAACTCCATGCACGAGCTTGGTCTGGTTAGATTTATTACAGTTTATATACTTATGCAGTGTCCATACAAGGGGCATGTAATTCCTTCGAGGTTTTACATGTGCCTCCTTTCTCAGGATGGGGAGGAGGAGCTTCACGTGGGGTGGCTGCAAGTGGGGAGGAATTTTCAGACCACTGGTTACAGGTTGTTTGTTTTGCGGAACCCACGACCTTGGCATTATCAGCACATTATAGGATTCTTGAACAGAGGGAGATGGGACATTAAGGCCGTAAGTAGGAAGCAACACTTATTAATGCCAGCACCTGCTCAGCTGATTTCTAGCCAAAGGCTGGGCTCTAATTGTAACATAACAAGCAGTTTTTGCGCAGTTTTGTTATTCCTACACAGCTATAGCGATAAGAACATGAGTTGGATAACAAACTATGAATCAACAGATGTGAGCTGGAGAATCCTTGAGGTGGGGAAGGTAGCTATGGGAAAATATGTTAGCTGGAGAGTCCTGGAGCCGGGAGAGGGCAGTCAGACTTTAACTGGCTGAGTCCCTCATTTCTGCAGGCCCATTCCTTTGCATTTTTTCAGATGCCTCCTTTCCTCTCTCACCATCAGTCAAGACTACCGAGAACAAAAGTCTTGGACCAAGCCTCTGAAGACATCAGTCTCAGTTCTTATCCTAGCAGCCTCTTTTCTCATCTATAAAACAGGAGGGGATATGACTATCTAATTGATTATTTTGTAAAACTGCTTACCAAGGTTGCTTTGAAAAAAAATTGAGCTTTATCAGAAGAGAAAGTGGAATTCAGGATAAAGGGGGAAATAGGCGAGGTGAACAGGATGAGAAGAGACCCCCATCTCCTTGGCTGAGAAGGATTTAGCTGATGTCAAATTGTCTCTAATCAATGAACCAGAAAATAAAAACATGATCAGATTCCGAGGTGGAAAGTCAGCATATTCCCAAACTGGAAAGTTTCTGATGTTAATGCAGAGAAAATTTGGGAAATCCAACTTCTTAAGATGTTAACTATAGTGGGTGTGAGAGAAACACACTGTTTTGTATACTCTTACTACAATTTCATATTTAATACCTTGAAGCTAATTTTTAAATATTCATGCTGTACAGTATTTGTAGCACGCTATTCTGAAGTAATAGAAGCAATTTAGTATGTTGAGATTTTATTAAAAAATCAGTTTTTTGCAAGATGATAAAATGTTCGTTTCATCTAAGTTTTTAAATTTATTGGATTAAATTTTTCATAATATTGCCGTATTGTCCTTTAAAATCTGTAGAATCTGTAGTGAGATGACATCTTTCTTGACATTGGTCATTTGCGTCTTTTTTTTTATGTCTATCAATCTGGCTAATGGTTTATCATTTTTTGATCTCAACCAGTTTTTTTATTTCACTTATATTTTTTTCTGTCTTCAATTTGATTGTTTTCTGCTCTGATCTATATTATTTCCTTATTCTTACCTGGGATTTAAGTTGCTCCTCTTTTTCTAATTTCTTGAGTTAGGAAACTGAGGTCATTGATGTGAATTTTTCCAACCCCCCCAACGTATGTGTTTAGTGCTACTAATTTTCCTCCAAATACTGTTTCAGCTGTATCCCACAGATTTTGAAATGTTTATTATTTTATTTATTTATTTTTAAATTTTTAATTAAGTTTATTAGGGTAACATTGGTTAATACAATTATATAATTTTCAGGCATACATCATCATTTGACATCTGTATATTCTATTGTGTGTTTACCACTCAAAGTCCAGTTTTGCCCAGCTACCATATATTCGATCCCCTTTACCCACTTCACCCTCCCCCTAAACCCTGTCTTTGACCCCTTTATCTTGTCTACCTCTC